TGGCAAGGATTGACCAACTAAAGCCCTGGAAGTATGTCAGGGAGAATCCATACAAATTTAGAAGCCTTGCAATTTTTGCATTATGGTGAATATACCTCGTGCACAGTTGAAATTAGTAGAAATTCTGATAACCCTTTTCTATGACCCAACAGCTAACTCAGTGCATTAAATGGTGTGCAATATAAGCTTTTCTGTCTAAAGCAAGCCTAGAAAGAGGACTTCCCCTCAATTTATGATAGTCTTCCACAATATACCAAGCAAGCAAATTACCAGTCCCTTATCTGGAACCATGCCATGGAGGTGCAGCCTGGCATCCCTTCCCCTGTGGGTGCGAAGGGGCTCAAGCACTGAGGGAGAAAAAATGGGGGTGCTCAGCACCCCCGGGGCTGGCTGGAGCTGCTGGTCTGGTAGCCCTGGGGCTAGCCACCATTCAGCTGTCCAGTAGTTGGCCCTATGCTCCCAGCAGCTCTTCAGCTCTAATGAAACACATTAGGATGTTAACCATTTAGATGTAATCATCCCCAAATGTGAAGGTTTCAAAAGTTGCTGTTCCAAAATTGCAGAATCTTTGCAATACATTCTGTACATTCTTGAGGGCATTATGCATCTTGTAAAATTATATGTAGATAAAATGAAAATGCCCTTTGTCCATATTTTATGGCTGTAAAATATGATGTTGAAATAAGCTATTTTATTTTTTTAGAAATTACAATGTGCAAGTGGGTCATAAAATATACATATAGACAGAAAAACACACAGAGAACATATTTAAAGTAAATTTGCCAATATGAAATCAATATATGATTAAATCCGTGTGTAATTATACACATGTTAAAGGAGAGTCCTTACTTCGACTTTTTCAAGAAATTGGTGAAGGCAATTTGACTTGGTTTACAAAAGCATCTATAATTCTCAAAGTTACCAGTGCAGAATACCACACACCCCCTAAAATCACTCTGGGGAGTTAGTCCCTTCATAAAAAATGTGTTAAACCTTTTTTGTGTGGGGAGGGTGCTACAAATTTCAAATTTAGTCAGGGTTTTCCATTTGGGCCCCCAAACTACAGGGGAAAATCCCCATCTCTTCTACCCTGTTCTTTTCTGTCTTCTCCCAGCCATCAGGGATTGGGGAGCTCCCAGAGCATCCTGCTGTCCTACCTCCCACAACCCATGCACACGGTCTCTCCAAAGGAAAAATCCCCACCTGGAGAAATCACACCCACTATTGCTGGTGTTTTCTGCTTCTCATTGGGTCTAGGGAGAAGCTTGGGGCCATCATTCACCTCCAGGGAATCATGGTGCAGGTCCTGCTGTGAGGAGTTGGCCTGGCTGTTGCCCACCATTCCCACTTTCCTACATGTGCTCTCAACTGCTGCCCTGGTTGCCACTGTTGCGACCCTGTGGATGATTTTCAGCAAGTCTGTGAATTAATTCTTTGCAAAGGCCTTTGTGCTTACTGTAGTGCGAGAGACAGAAAAAGAAGAAAAACATTTTGGTTTGAGAAAATCTTAAATCCTGATTACCTTACTGTATGCATTAAAAGTAGCATTGTGAAGAAAACAACCTTCATATATCTCGGAAGATTTTTAGAAAGTATTTGTTGTAATTTATTTGACTTGACGATTCAATCTCACTTTTATCATTTTCTAGGGAGTAAAGTACCTGACCATATGATATAAACATTACACATTTCCTTGCTTTCCCTTTCATTGATCATAGTTATTCAGATTACCTATTCCTGAACTTAAATATCTGATTTATGCATGTGGAATGAATATTTTATAAAAGCACTGCCCAAACCAAATATTATAAATATTGGGGAGAGATTCTTTTTTATAAAAAATAAATATAATATCCATAAGGCATGCATTTTACCTTTAGGGTATACAAAATGCAGCAACCATAGATGGGTCTAGTGCAGTGGTCCCCAAACTATGGGGCACGCCCCCCTGGGAGGGTGCAGAGGAACGTTCAGGGGGAAGGGTGGCAGGGCCCAGGCCAGCCCCCATGGGCGACAGGGAGGGAGCACCACCCAGCCCTGCTCTGCTCCCAGCTCCACTCTGGCCTCAGCCCCATCCCCGGCCCCAGCCTTGGCCACTGGCTCCCATCCCCACTCCCGGACACAGCTCTGCTACGGACCGTGGCCCCTGGCTCCTGGTCCTGACTGCAGGCCCGCACCCTGCCGCAGCTCCTGGCCCTGACTGCGACCCTGCTCCTGGCTGAGGCCCCAGTGGCAGCGCTGGCCCCACTCCCAATTGTGGCCCTGCTCCCAGCCCCGGTTCCTGACTGTGGCTCTTGGAGGGGTGCGGACCAGGTAAGGGGGGGATGTGAACAAAAAAGTTTGGGGACCATTGGTCTAGTGATTGGCTACTCATGCCCCTATATATTTAAATTAACATTTAAAATGAAGAATTTTAGTTAATAATTTGCTAGATTTTATCCTGACTAATATTGTTGGGCTTCAGTATCTTGTGAAACACTTGAGTGTCCTGACTAAAAATAATAGGAAATAATCTTCCCAGCTCACAGCCTGTGTTAGCAGAATGCATTTCCATAGGGCTTATGAAGGAAGGAATTTATCCCCTGTTGCTGTTGCAGCACATATCAATGGTACATGGGGGGCTATAGAACCTTATGGAGGATGGTGATAAACTGCCCTCCCCACTGCGTAATAGAACTGAATTGTTCTGGTTAGTCAGGAGTGGACTCTAAATGACCATAGGGGTGCAACAGGGGGAGCAGTATTTACTCCAATAATAAGCTTCTATAATACATAACATTTAAAATTTTCTCTTATTGCTACAAAACATTTTGGAGCTTCCAATTCATACAAAATACACTACAGTATATTGACAATAACTGGACTATGTGAGGACAGACATTCCATCTTACCTTGAAGTACTGCAAGTACTTAAAATATATCACTAATGATTTAGATATGTATATTGGTTTGGATATCCTCTGTGTACTCCCACAAATTGACTGATCAGATAGGGTTACAGTCAAATTTGCAGGAAATATATTTATGAATCAGGTATAAGGAAGGGAGTTTTATTACTTGCATAACTGACAAACCTGGGACATTTTTGTGGAAGATAGCCATTGGGGATAATAACTTAGTGACAAAACAGAAAAAGGGTAATAATTCATAAATTAGCAGGTCATTAATCTTGTCTTTATGAGGGAACAAGCTAATTTATTTCAGAGAAGGTTGAACCTGAGGTGCAATTTATAATCTTTTTGATAGCCTAGTAATGTTGAAAGGCTCGTAATGTAATGCTATATTATTCATCCTTTGAACTTGAGCTATTTTTATGAAATAATGGAGGGTACAGAGAAGAGAAGTATCAACTTTTTGGAATGCAGTAAAGCAACAGGGAAGTATTAGTTTGCTGTTCAATTTTCAGAAATGTGAGAATTGAATAAGTGGGCAATATAATTTGTGAAAGAGAGCAGCATTGTAAATGAAGATTGATTGCATTTTTAAAACACAATATTGCCATTAAAATATCATTTGAAAATAATGTCACACATTGAGCCTGATTGCCTCCTTTCCACAAAATAACCCAGTGGAGGGGAGAGTAGAGGAGGAAAACATTGTAAGAGTTATTTTCCAAGCTCTTAGCTGAGGTAGGTGGGATGTGTCCTCCCTTGTGGAACAAACTGGGTGGTGGTGTCCTCAAACCCTGTGGATCTCAGTTCCAGCTGTATGGAAGTTCTATGCCTCTGCACTGCTCTACATTCCATGTAGGTCTTTCTGCATTGGTATCTACCCTTGGAAGTCCTCCTGAAGTGGGGTTCTTCAGTATAAAGGGGAACCACAGAGAAGTTATTGTCGCTGTAAGCTGCATTCACTTTTTGTGAATTCCCTGAAGGGCTTGTGGGTGGCTGCTCCTGGGAATAACCATACTTCTTTCTGCTCACAGCCACTATCTTGCCTCACGTCTTCCCCTCCTTTTCTGCACTGGGCCCTCTGCAGAGTTCATGGAGATGGCTGACCCTTTGCCCTGGATCACAGAAAGAGAGATGTGTAGATCGCAGGGGGAGCGTTAGGGTCAATGGTATCTGCAATATTATAATTATTTTCTATACTGAGTTATGTCCCGACTGGCTTTAACACTGATCTTAATAAGTTTATGGGGGGGATGATATGATGAAACTGCCTACAATGGCATGTAGCCGGTCTGCAACTGCTAGTAGTAAATATCTCCAAGGGCCGCTGATGGGACACTAGATGGGGAGGGCTCTGAGTTACTCCAGAGAATTCTTTCCCAGGTGTCTGGCTGGAGGGTCTTGCCCACATGCTCACGGTCTAACTGATCACCATATTTGGGATCGGGAAGGAATTTTCCCCTGGTTCAGATTGGCAGAGACCATAGGGTTTTTTTGCCTTCCTCTGCCGCATGGGGCACGAGTCACTTGAAGGTTTAAGCTAGTGTAACTGGTGGATTCTCTGTAACTTGAAGTTTTAAACCATGATTTGAGGACTTCAGTAACTCAGCCAGAGGTGATGGGTCTATTACAGGAGTGGGTGGGCGAGGTTCTGTGGCCTGCTGTGTGTCAGATAAGATGATCATGATGGTCACTTCTGGCTTTAAAGTCTGAGTCTGTGTCAGATACTGCTGCATGATAATTGTTGACAAATGTTTTTAAGTTGTAGTCACTATGTATATGGTATCTGTGAAAAGATTCATATGCAATAAACTTTTCTAAATGTAATAAGTAAATCTTTTAATATATTTTCTCTATGCAGAACAAAAAATTATACAAAATAATATTATTTGGAAGCGTACATATATTCAAAAGTTTCTCTCTAGCAAAATTAATTTTGACTATGTATAAATGAAAAGACTTCTGTGATTCCAGAGTTACTTGTGTTATGTTTGTACCGTAGAAAGAATCTCTTTATACAGACTGCATATGTCTCTCCAGATGTTTGTGTATTAAATATTTTTGGAACACTTTACATAATTATACTTTTTTGTTGTTGTTTTTTTTTAGATAAGGATACAGCAGTTGAACTTCCTATAAAGTTTACTCCACAATATCCTGGTCGCTATCCCTGCCAGATTCTGCTGCGATCTTTCTATGATATTCGGGTCTACTTGATTGAGTGTGTGGTGAATACAGACAGTGCTGAGGCTGAGCTTGAATTTGTAACCCCAGCCTATCAGTCCGTGATTCAGGACATACCAATAGTAAGTCCATTTTACAATTAGAAGGTTAAATCAAGATTCAGGATTATTGGATTCAGCCTTTTAAATTAAAATTAACATCCATGTACCATAGAAACCACAAAAGTACTGAAATACTGATGTTATCTTGTTGCCCAAAGTCTAAATGGTATGTAAACATAAAACATAAAAGAGTTACAGATTGTTTTCTGCCCACCTCAATAACTATTTAGTCTGTTATTCCTAATGATTTTTCTTCTGAGACTGACACTTATTAACATACAGGACATTGCAAGTAGGGGGGGAAAGGTTGGTATGAGTAGTATGAATACTAAATGTAAGATTTCTGGCAGTGGAAGGAAAGCAGAAATCTGAATTAAGGCGCATGATAGCAGAATTAAATATTGTACAGATCGTATTAATGTATTTTGCTCCACAAAAAAGAAGTTGTTTTTAAAAAATAATTATTTAAGAGAAATGTGAGGTTATAAATAATATGTAAGGCTACGATTTAGTCATGGGTATTTTTAGTAAAAATTCACAGTCCGTGACCTGTCCATGACTTATACTATAAATACCCCTGACTAAATCCTGGGGAGGACGCGCTACTGGTGGTGGCAACCTGGGGGCCATTGCTGGGAGGGGGGCGTGGCCAGTGGCACCAGCTGCCGGGAGCCACTGGAGCAGCAGCTGCTCCCGCTGCCCCAGGGACCGCTGCTCGGGTGGTCCTTGGGGTCAGCCGTACTGGACGCTGCTCGGGCGGTTCCTGGGGCCAGTTGCCCGGGGCTACCCGAGCAGCGGCCGGTAAGGCTGGCTGCGGTGCTGCCTGATTGGCTGGCTGCAGAGCCACTCCACCGGTGGCCATTGTGGCTGGCCCTGGTGTGAGCCCCACCTGCCGCTGCAGAAGTCACGGAGGTCACTGAAAATCATGGAACCCGTGACTTCTGCAACCTCCATGACAGACACGCAGCCCTAATAATATGTAATATAGATACATTAGAAAAGTGTATTCAAAAGTTAAATATTTGAAGCATTCAATACTGAGAAGCTATGATGTAAGAGAGGGGTACAGTAATTAACATAGTAGATCAGAATAGTCATTAATCTAATCTAATAATTTATCTCCAGCAATGACAGGACCTGATGCTCCAGAAACTGATGCAAGAAATCCCATAGTGCACAATTATGGTGTAAGCCGACAGTCCAAAAAGATATAAGAGAGAGAGAGAGTCAAAGAGTGAATTTTGAGCTGTAGGGTTGGGTATCTTCTTCAGAGAAGTCATTATCAAGCTTTTTAGGCCATCAGCAGACTGTCTCAAATTAAAAGCTAAAGAGAGAAAATGATGTGGCATAAAACAACAAGAGGAAGACTTAAAGGTTCTATTAGAAGTAAAAATGTTACCTAAGGTTTGCACCAGGAGTTGAGAGTGCTGCACATACCATATTTTGTGTGAGGTGGTCAGGAAGAATAGAGAGTGATAGTATAGAAAAAGTCACACTGAGATCTGATGGGACAAGAAGAGGGGAGGGATCCATGATCAGACGTGAGATCAGTAGCTTGTCTGGAGAAGGATAGTATTGTGAAAGCACAGTGAAACACTGAAAGTAACCAAGGAGGTTGTTCTGAAATGATTGGGATCTTTATTTCTGCTCATTTTATTTTCCTTTTTAAAGAATAAATAAGATAATGGATATTGACCTGCTCAGCCTGTCTATTGGCGCTGCTCCTAGAACTGGAGTTACTTTTGTGTGTTGCTGGATAAGGGGTGTGCTGGTTTTAAAGAGGATGAGATTCTGATGTTGTGGAGCATGAGAGAAAAATTTGCATGAATTCTTCATCTCCCATTGAGCCTCCAACTTGTCAACACACAACTGTTGGTTTTTTCTTTCATACTTTGGGTTCTGCCGCAGGACAGTCTTTCTACTAAATAGTTTAGTCTTCAGCAGATTCAGTATCTGAGTGCATATGGCTATGCACATTTTTGGTTAGATTGAGCCCATAATTATAAGTACAATCAAACTTCTTTTATGGTATGAGTATGTAAAACATGAATTTTTAGAACATTCCTACTAGTACCCACAGTACCAGTATTATTGAACTTATGGTTGAATACATTCAAACTTTTAAAAATATAATCGTTATTTTCCTAAACTCTGCTCTGAGTTGGCACTTTTGAAAAAATAAAGATTGTGATCTGATTTGGTGTCCATTCTAAGAATTAATGGATAGAAAGTTAAATGTAGCTGTAATTGCAGGTAAATGTATGTTGTAACTTTAAATGTACCATTTGGATGACATCTATTTTTTTTTCCAGAGTAATATGTCTAATCAGGACTGGAAACTTCAAGCAATCCTAGAGGGACATTGTTTTTATGGCCCTCCTCTCATATATGTGGGTCCAGGTGAAACAACACAGTATCCTCTCATGTTTAATCCCATTGCTGAGTGTGTCACTCTGGTAAGAGAAAAGAGACATTCAGCCTTTATAAGGTTTGCTGCTACACATGAAACTTGTGCCTGCACTCCAGGAAACCCCTTAAGCAGGTGTTTAACATTAAGCATCTGCTTAAGAGGTTTTCTGAATCAGGATTATTCAGGGCAAGACTTTTTCCTGAGGATGTACATGTAATAAACTGCCTTCAGGGGAGCTTAGGCTAATATTTTGTATGGTCAATTTATCTTTTCTCGTGGTCCTACCCTCTCTCTCTCTGCCCACCCAATTTTAATAAAATTATTAGGTATTCTATACAAATTGAAAGCATTCTAATTACAAATATATACAGTGCATTCCAGCCTTTATTTAAATATACATTATTTTATTTATGTAATCAGTAAATTCAGGAAATGCCAGTTTTAAGGTTCTTTAATAACATTGAGCATCCCTCATTGCGCATATATGCCATGAGGATTCTACAGGAATGGAGGTTATATTAGTTCATTCATTAATTTCCATTATTAGTTATGTCATTGCTCATATTGGGGTGGATTCCCAGGCACTCTGTCCCAATGGTAGTTGCCATTCTGGATATTATGAGGTACATACCAGGGTAAGGGCTGTTTCAGCTTTTAACAGGAAGCAGTTTGTACATGCCTGCCTATGCATTACCTGAGCTACTCTGGTGTTTGCCATGCTATACAAAAACACAAATTTACAGTATCACTCTTTTGCCTAGCACAAAATAATTACTCTCTACAAACTACAATAACCTATTCAAATTACTTACTAACATCATTATAATGTAGTTCACAAATCCAGTAACAAAAATACAAACCCTCCTAAAACCGTTAACAGTCCTAAAGACAAACCTCACCTAAGCTAAAACAACCTAAACTAGGGAATATGGAATTATTCCCGGGGAAAACTGTCATTACACAGACAGCAGAATTAAGATGATTGTGTGGTTGTACTCTATATTTCCTGCTTTATGAGAGTTAGAGTTGGGTATATTTTATCCTTAGCAATTATTAATTATTTTCAACAAGCTTTGTGTATGTTTGAATTATATATTATATTTGAAAAATAATATAGGATATAAGGAGAAGCCACATTTTAAAGGATATGTATGAAGGGTTAGATTTAAGAGTTGAGTATTCCTCCTTAACTCTATATTTTCTAACTTTTGAGTGTTTGGTTTCTCATTCTTAATGTTACACTAATATTATTAATCATTTATTATTTATTTGTTAGGTGCAGATACTGCACAATATTTTTGTTTGGAGTATATAATCTGTATGTGTGGATAGCCATAGCTCACTCTATTACATTGGTGCAACTTCAATGGCTTCAGTGGAGTTACTTCAGTGTACATGAGAACAGAATTTGGATATGTGATGCAATATATATATCTATAGGTATAAAGCATTTAGTGTGTGTGCACATACTCAGCAGATGTGTATCACATGTAGATCCCTGCACACAACAGGTCAGGCATGAAACACCAGTTCTTTGGAATCTCAGTCTCACAGCAAAATATCCAGAGGTAGGTCACCCATACAAAACCTACATACTCCCACCCAGAGGACAGATTGTGTCAGTTTTGTGGCAAGGTCCTTTCTCCAGCCTGGACTCGTTTAATACTTAAGTCAATGGGAACGTTGTCATTGATTTGAATGGGGATTTCCCCCCAGGTCCTCATTATTATGGAGACTTTCCCAGCAGGTCCCTGCTCTCTCAATACTCTTATAACTCTAATTCTCTGTTAGTATAGTATTGATGTATCTGCTCTTTATCTTTCCTACCTGAATGAGGATCCCCAAAATGGAGTTTGCTTATGAAAGAAAGCTGTGGATGCTGGAGTTCAGTAGATAGTTCTGATGCTGATTGCGTTTTCTTCTTCTTTCTTCTAAAGTTATAAACCACAGGAATTCGTCCCAAGCCTTCCAGACTGTACCATTAAATAAGTTGATAGTTTTCAGAAGTGTCTTCATTTTTTTTTAAGCAGTCTGACAAAATCATTCCCTTTGGGGCCAAACTCCACTGACAGTCAATTTTAGCAAGATGCAAAGTTTCTCCTTCCTAGGCCATTGATTTAAATCTGATTAGAATTTAAACAGCTAAAAATTGTGAGTTGCAAACAGGTCAGCTTCAGCCTTGTTACTTAATGGTTTTAAGATTTCACTGTTTTAGTTTCATCCATAAATGTGTTTCTGTAGTTATTATTCAAAGAGGGAATAAAATTCATAGGTTTTGAGGGTGGATATTAATGATCTTAGTTCTCATTTTGTAGTTTCCCAAAATGTTAATAGAATTCTATTATTCTGATCAATGCAGTGGGCAAAGCTACTAGGCAAAGTTATTCTGTGAAAACCAGCAATAATGTTGAAGTACAAGATACAAAAACTACACAGGCAAATTTTATTTGTAATTTATTGTGTATGAGGATTCATATAATAGATAAAAGAAAAAGTTAATGTTGTCTCTTTCTTGTGTATGGTAAGTAAAAAGTTTAGTACCAAGAGCCACCTCCTGCGCAGGATTCTGCTGGATGAGTACTGCTGGAACAAAGTACCTTTCTTTTCCAGTTTTTCACGTTAATTAGGAATAGTGATGGCTCAGAAAATATTTTCTTGGAAGGTATATTTCTTTGCTGAGTAAACAAGTGTGTAATCAATATACATGAGGCACTGTACTGCTAACTCTGTAATATAGAAAAATTAGAAATAAAAGTCAGTCTTCCTTAAGTTTGTCTTCATTAATTCAGCAGAAGTGTTTACATATATGCTGGAAAGTAAACAGGCAACACCTCCCTGCAAGCTTGTTTCCATACCTGGACTCAAGATTAATTAGGTTAAGGGAGTTTGTCTGGCAGCCATGCAAGACTCACGCAGTGCTGAAATGTCTTCTTTTTTTCCTTTGTCACAGGGCAAGCTTATTCTACAAAATGAAACAGATGGGACTGAACACATCTTTGGCCTTAAGGGAATAGGGAGGAAACCTCTTGCACTGGATCATATCGTAATAAACTGTCAAGTGAGACAAATTACTCAGAAGGTCCTAATGGTGCCCAATTATACAAAGAACAAGTTGACATACAAGGTAAAGTTGTGGAATGTTAGAATACATGTATCTTTGTCAAAGAGGATGCAAATTATGGCATGAAAATAACATAGTAAGAATATTGTCTTAGTTCCTACTTATTAACTTTCATTTGGCAGTAAGAAATTGTTTCTATATCGAATAGGATTTAGCTTGTTATTAGTATAGTTGATGTTTCCATAGGAAGGAATTCTTTTTACTCTAGTGCATGATTTATTATACATTTCATGAAGAAAGATTTAATTGTTTCTTACTATTAAATAATTTAATACTTTTGTTTTTCACTCTTTTCACTCAGTATACTTTACAAGTGGATTGAGATAAGCCTGTTTCCATATGTAAAATTAATTACTGCAATTTTTGTAAGTCTTGCTAACATGAGTATCTTGTAAAGGGGTTCTGTGTCTAGAGCTTAGAAATCCCAGGATTCCAAACCAGTGAATACTCAGAAAGTTAGGTTTTAGCCAAAATGACATTTTAACCCTGGCTTCAATTAGGCATATATGTATTATTTAATATAAATTTTCTATTAATATACAAATATTATATTTGTTAAAAGAAAGCTATTTAGGTTGCATCATCAAGTGCTTGTAAGTAAGGAAATGCCAGATTTACAGTTGCCTATGGAAGCCTAATTCTGCCCTCATGCTCTAAACAATGGAGGTCTAAGAGCTCCTTAAAAACTCACCAGATTCTTTCATAATGCAAAGTGGTAAGCAATGTACATAGCAATAGGTATCTTCTCCCCATATAATGTGTCTAGAATGGTAAATTGTCTGTACACTATTAGAGGCAAGTCCTGTACCCTTTGTGGATATATAGGACTCCCAAGTAGCAGAACCAGTGGCTTCCTGCATGCCAATAGGCAGGAGATGGCTGAGGATTTGGGGCAGGACCAGAGGACCACCTCTTACCTTCCCAGTCACAGAGAAGGTTTTCTAATATTATTCAGGGAAGATTTGGACTTAGTGAATAAAAACCACCAAGAGCTCTTTTGTGGCTTTTAAAGCTGAGCAGAAAGGGTTGTGGAACTGGGGGTGGGGTGAGCAGAGATGCGGGGAGGGTATTGTAGCGCAGCCCGTGTGCAAAACTTGGCAGAGGGATTCTATCTGCGGAACGTTGAGGCAGGAAAATGGACTCTCAGAATAAATAGGATACTTCACCTGGGAACTTCTATTACAGTTTTTTGGAAATCTCGCATGTGCTTTGCTAGTGCTGGCCTCAGGCAACTGGCCCATATATGGTTGAGTGAGACCCCAAATAGTCCCCTGCCTCATTAACCCCTTCCCTCTGCCTTGATGTATGTATCATCATGGGCTGCATTGTCATTCCCATTGTGGTCAAGAATTGCTGAAGTACCGAGATTCTGTCTGCCCTATGTGCATATGTGCAAGAGGGAGAAGAAGCTCCTTGGTCGCTCTCCCACCCTTGTGGTGTAGGGTAGCTGGAATTGGACCCTAAGTATACAGTAGTGTTACCATTGTTTAGATGGATCTTGCTATACTGCATACATGAAAGAGGATTTCATTTCTGCACACACACAATCTGTTTCCCACTCTAGACTGTACATTTATACAATCATAATCAACAAAGATGATACCTGGACCAATGGATGAGCAAGTTTATTTCATTCTTCAGTGCAGGAGAAATACTTCAACACTAGTTATTTACTCTTCCACTTCTGCTTTGACATCCTCTGTTGATGGGATTTCTCCAGGTTGAAACCATTAGATACAATGGAGCAGAACAAACCAAAGCTTGTAGTGCAGGTGAAAATGTTTTACCATTGCTGGGGTAGAATTATGTTAATAGCATTATGGTATCATGCTCCAAAAATTACACATCACTGGAAAAAGTGTCCTGTACCATTTTGGGTAGCTACTGTACATCAGCATGATGCTACTTCTAAATAGTAGGGTAAATTTATTTTCCTTAAGTCCATGTTTTATCTGTGTGGTTTTTAATTATTAAAGGAATATTTGCATTTATTCAATATAATATACCATAGAATGGGACTTGCCTTATACTCAGGTTTCATTTGACTCACTGTTCAGGACACAAAACAACATAAGAAATAAAATCCTTGGGCTTTAGGAGCTTCCACATTTTTCTTTTCAACCTCTTCATGCAAGCTTGTGGTGTAACAGATATGGCATTTTCCTACAATATCCTTGAAAAAAAATACTAAATTAAATTTAAATATTTTGGGGGTCCATTGCTTATGTATTATTGTGGACAGATATTGTATGTAACCTCTTTAGGGGGGAGATGTGATGTAAGTACTATATTGAACAATGCGTTAGTCAAGAATCAACTTTTGGAACAACACATATGAAGTGGAATCCTGGGTAATATCTAAGGGGAGGTGAATGCAAATTCCCCACCTACGATTATGCAAAACCCCAGCCCTTTGAAGCTACTTCCTGAGGAGTGGGCCTTTGTGTGTTGCATCACTTGTTTCATGAGGCCATGATCAAAGGCAAAGCTGTATAAAGGAAAGAATGAACGATTCAGGGTTGTTCTGAATCTGGGACAGCTATGAACTTATAACCTGGGGAAAATCCCGTTGTGGGTTTTGAAGGACTGACGCCTATCAGAGTCCAAGGTTGGAGCTGGGGTGATCTCTGGTAGGTTTTAGCATGCACATAGGTTCTTCTATTGTTTTTAATATATTTTCTCTGCAATTCATTCAACTTAAGAATAAATGTGCTTCTTTATAAAGGGCTGTGTGGTAAATTGTAACTGCTGGCAATTACAGCTGTTCATAGCCTTTGGCAAGAAAGCTAACCACAGATGCTGGCGTATTTGGCAGTCTGGTATTGCTGGGGATATCACAGTATAGAACTGTGCAGCCTGGAAAAACTACAGTCCGCAGGGAGAGAGACATGGGTCTCTGCCCAGGAGAGTGATGGCTGAGGAGCTGGGAACCTAGAGTGAGTGCCCTCGGGGGACCACATACAGAAGAACCTCAGAGTTATGAACACCAGAGTTACGAACTGACCAGTTAACCACACACCTCATTTGGAACCGGAGATACACAATCAGGCAGCAGCAGAGCCAAAAAAAAAAAAAACTAATAAAAATTCAGAGGTTCTACTGTACAAGGAATACTGGTGTAGTTGCCCTGAACTGTGACACCCCTTGGCCCAGTTACCTACGTCTCTGGGTTTGGAGAAGCAGACTGCCCTGATCTGCAGCATGTTATCTGTGACTCTGTGTGTATCAGATTCTCCCTCTTGGGCAGCTGTTGACAGCCCATTCAGCCCTCATCCCCATCCCACCCTTTCTTACATAGACCAGCATCTTTAAGATTGTAGTATTTCCTGGGCCCAGGATGGGGAAGAGTAAATTTTGCATGTTTAGTTGGAGCCAGACTAGGGGTATTACCCAATTAATGGCTTTACCGTTTTCCCAAAAGAACCTTGATATTCTCTGATAGTACTTTATCTTTGGCATGGTTTCATTTCCTGTTGATTTCCACCTTTGATTTAATTCTATGCAGCTAGGCAAGATAATATCACATAGGGAAACTGAGGTGCACATGATATTTCTAAAAAATTATATAGTTAATTCTCCACAACGATGCAGTGCAGGTTAGGTGTGAGGTTCTTAATACTGAGATGTACCAGTAGTTGGGAAACCATAATAATTTACAGTTACGTTCATAAAGATTTTACTGCCCAGTTAGCACTTAGAAATTAGGTAATTTTGTCTTGAGGAGTGTAAATCAGCATCAGTGTTCCATTTTTCATAATTAGATATATTAAATCATTAATTTAATAGAAATGCAATTTAATTAAAAAGTTAATTACATTGTTCATATGTTCCCCAGCTTCCGAATAATCACTATGTATCTCTGAATGGTGCAGCCTAAACATAGGTGATAGGACAAGGGTTAAATAGAATGAGATCAATAAAAGTTCCCTTTTTCCCCCTAAGTCAGGCAAACAAATCCTCTTCCTTCTGAAACTTGAATGACAGAGTGTTTTTCCTTCACTTGACAGGTGAGAATATTATTCATATTTGGAGCAGGAATACATGTTCTAGTCTACATCTATGATTTAAACGCCTATGTACCCACCAATCCAAATCAAGGTTGTGATTTTCAAAGCCACCGAAGTGAGTTAAATGCCCAGATCCTATTAAAATTCAGTGAGAGTTGTGTGCCTGACTCACTCAAGCACCTTTGAAAATCCCACCTTAAGTAAAGGTGTGTATTTTAATTACACACCTACCTACAAAGCTTTCAATGACAAAAAAAGACAATGCAAAAACTCTTATTTAAAGTTATTTTAAACTTGAATACAGTGTGTGATGTATTTTCCACTGTTAAAAGTACTGATGTATCTTAGGCAGGTCTTTGTCTTATGCAGCACAGTAGATCAAAATTATGAAGCAGGGAGTTCAGAAGTATGTGATGTCCCCCGCCCCCCTCGCTCACTCACACACACACACACTCCTATGTGCCACTCTAATCAGTATAGTGTTCTTTCCATCATTTATTTACTTCGCTATTCAGTTTATTTTATACTTTCAGCATGATGCAAATTTTTGTATTGATGAGTAACTACAGTGTAGAAGTTGCAGGACAATGATTTTGGCATCTGGACATGGGTAATTTAGGGCTTTAGGCATTCAAAAAGGCATGGGGACCTGGTATTTAGTATCTTGAAGGAGATTAAGGCTTTTGGTACTGAGCTCCTATTTAACCACTTGCTAACTTGGGCAGGGGCAGAAGTCACTTCAGATTTGGGGAAGGGAAGTTTGAATTCTTCATTCCCTACTCACTAGCTCTTCACAGCCCATCAAGGACCTTCACAGTTCTGTTCTTTTGTATTTATCCACACTCTTCTTTTTTATCCCTTCTACTCTGCCAGTATTGACAATCTCCTACTTCTTCTTCTTGCTTGCTCTTCCTACAAATCTCTTTGTATGTTCTTCTTCATTACCCCTTATGAATAGAATGTCCTCCATTAACTGATTTGCAAAGTTAATACCTT